AAGCAGGAAACGATTTGCATTATTTTCACGCACCTCTCCCCGAATCCCTCTGTCTCCCAAAATATAGCGTGACAGTATAACGTGACTAATTTGACGTAACCGGAAATTCAAAAATAATTGTCGTTCTACGAGTATAAAATGCGACAGGGTCAGCTACTCGCCACTGGGCTAATTTACACTAGACAGAAATATATTGTATTGGATGAAACCCAGAAGTTTACGTACTAAGGGACGGACCATTAGATTTCTCGCTCGCATATTGCTTTCATCAGCCCCCACTTTAAGCAATGTAAATAGATGAAGAGATCGATAGCATATTTTTTTTTACCTGATACCGATATGAGTTAAAAATTCGCTCGAGTTCGCTGTTCGTCTCACGACACTCATGACTAACTTTTCTTCATGGCAGATAACTATGCCGCTTTATAACTCCGCCGAAGCTTTTGTGCCAGCTAAACAATATGGAAACACTCAGTGAAACACTATTCACAGTCCTTGGATATTAAAAAGACTGAACGTAACGCACAATGTGCCCTTGTTTACCTTTGATCGCAACTCCAAGCGAACTCTCTCTTTTCAAGCGCCCATTTCAATGCACAATAATTGACCCTTATATTAATTAAACCCTATGGTTCATTCATATTGAAACTGTTTTTGCCCCTCACATTTACTTTGTTCGTTCGTATTCAAAACACCTTTAGGAAAATAAAGGTCGTGTAAGTCATGCGTATTATGTTTCGAGATAAATGGATTTTACTCTTTTTTAAGTTCCCATTTTGCGGTGACTTCAGTTTACATCTCCATAAAATGGTACAAGAAACATCAGGAAACATCACGCAAGCTGAAAATTTACAAAGGCATGTTTTTTGAAACTTGTTAATGCTGACATCAATACATCTGATATATCGTGCGTGCTGAATGGGCGAAAATACAGAATTGTGATCACAAGATCATGTACAAATTTAATGATAAAAGCTTAGCAAGATACAGATACGAACAAAAGCAAACCCCCTGAAACCCCGACCTGGGCTACACTTGTATGCTCTGCTATTTTCCTCAAGTTGGTCTTTGTGAAGCTCCCAGATGGCAGAAGCTTTGAACTTGTGTGCGAAATTCTCAGAGTTCCTATTTTTGTCCGTGTCTTCTTTATCCTCAGTATCCAAAATTTAGACCTCCAAAGTGGCGTGTGTTCCATTAAATAGAAGGAAATATTTAAAGGAAAAGCCAGTCTTCTAACATGGCAAAGTTGTCACGTCCCTCGCTCATGGACGTGCGTAACATCAGGATTAATCTGACATTCATCGGCAACTGAGTTGTTCGCTTCACTGTATGACAGCTCACAAACAATTCTTCAGTCATAGTGTCGTCAACTGGTGAAATACTTTGCTCATAAATTGTGCTTATTAATTGCTCATGTACTACATCAATCGATAATTCTGTCTTTGAGTTCACGAAGCGGCGCGGCGTTCCAAACCTAACGCTCACAGTCATCTTTTAGTGTGAACCTACCGTGAACGGCGTGTGGGTTTGTATGCAACGTCAGCATTTCTCTGAGTTTCCCAGCGCCAACATCATCAACTGACGCGAACAATAAAAAAATCATAGAGTGACCACAGGCAGACCACCCTCTGTTCGACGGGTTCTAACCGTCGAGGTCAAATATTCATCTCGCAAGATAGAGTTTAAAACAGCACGGGACGGCGAAAAAAACATGACACATGACTCAGTTAACATTTTCTTCAAACGTTTATTGAAACATTTGCTTTAAATTCTTCATTTTGGAACAAATTATAGCCACCGTATTGTTCATATGTATTTCTTCTATAAATAACAAAAGATCGTTGCTCAGATTTCAATCAACAACGGTCCCCACTAACAGAAGGTGGTCTGCCTGTGGAGCGACTGCTATGATCGAATCGCTTCGAACAACGCAAATAGCCTTCTTCAGGTTCGCAGCACCTTCTGGGTTTCTGGGAGCGGGGGTTGAGACGAGGAACAAAAAGTATTCGTGCAAGGGTCCGTGCAAGGAAAAATCCTGTGAAACCATTTTTGAGAACATCGTTTCTCGGTACCAGACCCTCGTGTCTTCCCTCCCCCGGGAGGCCGTTTTTCTACACAGACGACCGAAAACCGAATTTATAACTGAGCCTCACAGGCAGCCCAGTAATTACATTCGGCGGAACAAAACGTAGTGATCGTGAAAAATGATAGGGACCTTTAACCCTTTAAGCCCCCAATATCCACATACAAATTCTCCAAACTGACCTCCATACATTTCTTTAAAGAATGTGTTGAGAGAATTTTATAAAAGATCAATGCAATTTCACTTTGGTGATTATTTTATCAAAATTTGCATAACCATATCTCTTGAAAGTATATGGATATCGTTAGGAGAAAATTGATGTTGGTCACCATTGGGACTTTTAAAAGGGGTTAAAGGTGTTTTTGAGCGACGCACTCCAACCGGAAGTGAATCTTTTTCAGTATTATTATGTCTCGACGATACTAAATTTGGATTGTTAAGTGTCTTTACTCTTTTAGAGATGATTTGCCTGAACGTTTGGGCAAAACCACAGCTAAAGAACGCAACTAAGACCACTTACGGTTGACGTGCGTCGCTAAACGTCTTTGCGTCATATATTGTTTTGTTTTGTTTTTGTTTTTGTTTTACAGAAAAGCCGTTTTACGGAAATTATTCGACATTATTATATAGATACTGATGAAATACCAGGATTTTTCCTTTTACTAAAAAATCATATCTTCATCGCGCGCAATGAGATACTTTCAGCACTCGAAGATAAAATTCGTATCCCCTCGCGGCCATGTAATATCCTCTATTTACTCATACAAAATACTGCAAATTCGCACGCGTTTGCCTACCCGCCAAGAAGGCTTCCAAAGCCGTGATAAGGTCTTTTAAACTTTGCATGATACTTGACGGAGTACAATAAACACTGATGCTCACAGTTCGAGCTGCGCAATTCTTAGGGTCGCGTTTGTTACAGGGGGACAATTCGCGACAACAATTGTTACGTTGTAATGTTCAAACAGTGTTGCAATTATTCGAAACAATGTCACAACAATATTGTAACGCTGTGCCAGTGTTGCTCAAACAATGGTCGTTATGAATCGTCTCGCGTAATATTAATTGCCCTTTGCTGTGAACTGCTTGTGCAAAAGAGTTGCAGTGACGTCATGTTGGCGTCATTTATTATTGAAGAAGAAACTAGAACCATCCGCCATCTTGAATGTGCAGTTTCTTATCTGAGCTTAACACTTTTCACACTGTTAGCGACACACAAATAGATGGCTTTGTATTGGACAACTTAAAAATAGCCAATCTAATAGAATCCCGCGCTTATTGTTAAACGTCACTGACGTGATCAGGCATCGCACTCAGCACACACATGCACGAGTGCTCAAGTGGGTTTGAGGACTGACGATTACGTTTGCTCGTGACACTGTAATAAGTTTCTACAATTGGTATAGCATTTAATGACGCCGAAACCAATTGTGGAATTGCACACATTTTAGGTATTCTACTGTTGAACAGTTACTTTAACAACATTAGATGTTTCGAGCAACAACAATTTGCTGGCTATCCCCTTTGAATTAAGAAGTTTTAGGCAGCCTTAAAGCCCCTCCATGGTGGGGTTATTAGGTTTATGGAGCCTATTGCATATCGATGGTTATATCGGACACAATATATTATCCAATATATTTGGATCAGTTAGTTCACAACACCTTCTGCAACATAATTACAGCGTTACAAGAACACTTTTCGATCGTGTTAAATGTATTTTGTCTGATTCCGGTGATCTCAAGCAAGAACTGTCTAGTGCAACTGCAAAGAGCCCATTTCAACTCGTGGATAGTCTACGATAAGCAAAGTCACCACATTTAATTGTGTATTTCAATTGAATCACTTCTATATCCGGATAAGCAGGAATTCCTTTTTATTTAATATAAGTGCATTTATTCTACGGGGTCGTCAGTTTTATCGTAAATTGTACTAGCGTTTTCTCAGTTTATTGTTAAATATCGAAATGATTCACATTTCTTCGAACTTAGCATCAACAGCTAGAGCTGTTTAGTTTGTCGCGAACAATACGCATTCGACCTGCAATCCTCAATTCTGACGCAGGTGTAAATTGCAACAGAACTTTGATACATCGTATCTGTAATATATTGTACGTTGTGAGTTTTTCCATTTGTTTGTTTTTGATACAAAACGGTAACAAGATGGCTGATACTTATGACGTCAGCGTTGTTATCATAGGTCATCATCCGACAAATCTTACTGGCGTGACTCGCTCTTTAAGGTCAGAGATGGTGGGCAACTTTTAGGCGCTGCTTTCTTGCCTGTTGCCATAATTCCAATCCCTGAGGTAATTTTTATTGGTGATGATTAAACCAGTGTTATCTAACCAGCAACCACTGAAGGCTTGCAAGAAGGAGTATCAAAGAGCTAAGAATGAAAGTCTTTGCTTTATCATTCATACATCCACTGGATAGTGTATCTGATACAGGAACTGAAAGAAGTTAAAAATAAGAAAGATCAGATGCGACTGCAGAAATTCCTTATATTTATCTACTCTTGTTAGTACTTTTATGATTTGCCGTGCCGTGGTGAAAATTTGCTTCAACCAATCAGAAGAACTTTCAAATCTGGCTAGCGACACCAAATGGTCTGCTATATGGCCGCCTTTTTTACTGTCGTCATACAACGCGTCTCCCCAACAAATTGTGGGAGGAAGCGTTGCGTGACGATTCTAAAAGCGGCTTTGTAAGAGACTAGCCTATTAAGGTACCACCTCTAAAAGGCACCTAAAACAGCTCTAATGGCGCTTATAAGGCTCCCTGGGCAGTACCGATGGACTGAAAACGCCAGTGATCAGCATCACCGTCACCATTCTTTCTAAGCGGTAAATGATATAAAACAAATTAAGTTTCCTCCTTTCACTCTTTTCTTTGGAAATTCCTATTCTTAAAAGCACTTTTCAGTAGCATAACTTAAGAATTATCATACCGTTTCCCGCAGTAACTTTTTTTGACCTTGGCCCAACAATATAATGACCTCCATGTATTATCTTGAAAGCCGCAATCTGGAAATACAATTTGTGCTCATTTTCGAGACCAGACATTATTTCTTTTCTCCTTCGTGCTCTATCGACGTCCACTGTTCGTAAGTTATTACTTTCTCCCCAGTAAAATATCTATAAGAAAACAACTAAGAGTGAAAACTTCCACTTGCCTTTCTGTTATTGTTTTAAACTTAAAGAGGAAACTATATCAAGCCACACTTACAGCGAACCCCATGATACCAGCCTTACGACTGATCATGAATTGGGTGGTGAGCAATGCAAGTGATTGACGGTCTTAGTAGTACAGTAGCTCTTCTAGACCTGTATTTTCATTGGTCTAAATAAGCAGAAGCTTCCTCTGTTCTTAGGGCTGGGGGTATTGTTTGTGTTGAATCATCTGTTGTTTCGTTCTCCAATCACAGACCATGTCTGGAGAGCTACTGATTCAGTCTATTCACCACTTTAGAAACGAGAAGGAAACTGGAACCAGTGGCGGATCCAAGAGAGGGATCCGTGGGGCCCGGGTTCCCCCCTCCCCCTTATTGTTAAACCAAACTGAGGCCTGAATCTATCTCAGGGTCTGGATGACCGGGCCCCTCCCTTATCTGAAGGTCTGGACCCGCCACTGGGAACCAAAATGTGTTCCCGCATTTGTTTCTGGGATTGTAACTTGGAAAGGCCAGTCAACTATTGGCCAACTTTTTCCCCTATTCCTAGTAACGGTCCCAAAAGTCTGCAAAAGGTAACTTGTCCTATTTTCCTTCTCGATGTGACGAACGGTTGCATGGCTTCTATCAGGAGCCCATCAAATTGATGGGCTCCTGCTTCTATTTATTTATTTCTTGAAATTTCAATATTCTGCACGCAAAATATTGAAATTTCGGTAGTTTTGCATGTCAAATTTTGAAATTTCAAGATTCTGCATGCCAGATGTTGAAATTTCAAGATTCTGCAAGTCAAATTTTGAAATTTCAAGATTCTGCATGTCAAATCTTTAAATTCTAAGTTTCTGCATGCCAAATATTGAAATTTCAAGATTCTGCAGTTGTCTGCCCCCTTCTTTTTGTTAGACCAAACTGAGGCCCGAAGGGCCGTGAAAAATTGTTTTGAGACCAAGCCCCCACTTATCTCAGGGTCTAGATGACCGGGCCCCTCCCTTATCTGAAGGTCTGGACCCGCCACTGGGAACCAAAATGTGTTCCCGCATTTGTTTCTTGGATTGTAACTGGGGAAAGGCCGGTCAACTATTGGCCAACTATTGTTTCTAGTAATGGTCCCCAATAGAACGAAAGTGGCGAGGAAGCCTTAAATAGAAACCACAGGGCTTATAACGTAAGGATGAAGAACGGATGAAGATACAGTAAACGAGTAACAACAATTAGTGTTAAACACAACCACACAACCACCTTGGGTTTTAAGAAACAACGTGCAGAATAGCCATTATTCTTGGGACATTTTACTTATACTAGTAAAGTCGAGCTAGAAACATAGGTCTGAAAGTATTAGAAATGAAGCGTGAACTGAATCAAACTCTTCGATCTAGTGTTTTATTTTAAATCTGTGCGGTTTTTCCTATGTAGGAAACTTTCCGCCTTTCTCATATTCAAAGCGCTCGTGCATTTGAATATGCTTCTGTGGTAGCCACGAATAAGTAATAATGGCCACTCAGTTCTCCGCCATGTCCTTAGATACAGACAGCAATTTAAAATGCACAAAGGTTATATATAACCTTATTGACATTTATTGTTTCTACTTACCCTAAAACCTTCTATGTCAGTCAGTGAACTTTTCCATGATAATCTAGCTTCCTTGCTATTTACATCAAACCCTGCCTTAACATTTGTGGGAGCCACTGGAGGTGCTAAAACAGAAGGAACAGACGACTTAGCAAGTGTGAATGAAACGATCACAGAATAGACTGCTCAGTCCTCTATGTTTTGCATTATTGTCCAGAGTGGCCGCTCAGGCCGAAACGCCTACATAGCGGATCGAAATATGGGGAAGGGCAGTCGAAAAACATGGCCCAAATATTTTCTTAACGAGGACCCTAAAATATATTCAGTGTCAAGTGAGAAAAAAAATCATTTTTCTAAGGTGGGATGGTCCTATCAAGCAGTCCTTTCAACCCAAGAACATTTTTGCTTGTCGAATCCGGAATTCTGGGCTTTGGAATACTGATTTGAAAGTTGACCATAACTCGTTTTTTTTTCTAGACGTTTTTCCAAACAACAATAACCTTTTCCATTCTCAAGGTTATCAAACTAATAGGTGATCAATATAGACCTATTTCTATTTCTATTTTTCCAGACTTCATCTCTATTTTCCTCGCCACTTTTCCAGGGCCCTCATTGATAGCAGCATTTTATGCTGAAGAGATAACCCTGGCTAAATAACATTCATTATTATTATTATTATTATTATTATTATTATTATTATCATTATTATTATTATTATTATTATTATTATTATTATTTCCAGACTTTTTTAAGGTCTGGAAAATTGCTGGGGAAATTTCAAAACTTTTTCAAGAATTCAATACACTGTACGAACCCTGCTTGTCCCCTAATAGCCCCAGATATTTCGGTACAAAATTAAACAGCCGACTCAAAACATCAAATTCTTTTATGAGCTAGTAGTGTGAGTTATTTGGGGCACAAATTTATCTCCCAAGTGCTATTATACCACTGTCAATCTTTCAATACGGGAAATGTCAAAGCCTTAGCCCTTTGAATACCTAATATTGTTCGTAAGATGATATCTCACCATAATGGAAACCAACCTGCAGATAAATCAAATGTAACAGTCACGGGTGGACCTTTCCCCATTCTGTTAATAGCCAGTACTGATATTCTGTAAACAGCTTGGAAATCTATATGGTGCATCAGTATTTCAGTTGAACTGTCATTAGTTCTCCAAGTTATCGCTGTCATTAACTCTGGCTGCTTCTGAGCAGTAACTTGATAACCAGCGATGGCTCCATTGACATGTTCTGGCGGCTGCCATTGCAGAAGTATGTGAGAGTCGTTCTGAACGTTGATTGAAATACTGCGAGGAGAATCTGGAACTGGAGAAGAAAAAGCAAATATAAGTCGCAATTAACAGTTTTATAAACTTGTAATAACCAAAGGTTACGGAGTGCGGGCGACAACGATCGGAGGTCCAAACGCAGTCAAACGCTTTTGCACCCCAAACGGGGATTTTGCTTAAGTTTCACTGACAGACGGTCAAAACACGCGTGATAAGATGACTCGGGGTAGAAGTTCGAAAAGCACGTGATCAAACTGCGTTTTGTGCATTTCATTCATTCTTAGTGGAAGTCCAAACGCATGGTGGCAACATACACTAGGCATGTGACACATGCGTAATAGCGGAGCTCCACCCGCGCGCGAAGCGCGCGTGGACGGAGCCCCATAGCTAAGGAAATGTGGTAATCTACCCATCCAAGAAAATTTCGTAATCACGTGACCGTACGACCGTCCGTCCGCACCACAGGGAAACCAATGTTTACTCCCACACTTTCTTGCTAGTTTGGGAGCCCAATAGAAAACTAATTGCACATCAATGTTGTGATCAATTGACAGCTGTCAAAACAGGATATCCGCTGACCAGTATCACCTGACCGTAGCGTGGGCTCAAGTGTCGACCCATCGAGGTCGAGTACTTTTTTGAAGTTATCCGCTGACAAATGATCGCAGGCTCAAGTCTATTTTTTCCAATGATTCATATGAAATATGTTGTGTTTATGTCACTATGGCCCCGCACTGTCAAGATTTTGATTTCAAACTGACCTCGGGCGCGAAAATTCAGCCAGTTTTTTAAAAATAAAGGCGGGGAAGACCTTTACTTACCATGGTCACGCGTTGGTCACGCTCTACGTCCAATTTTTGTATTCTGATTGGTCAAAATTTGACAGGTGAGTTCATGCGGAAAATTTATGCAGCATCTTGAAAGTTGTTTACTTTGACAGCTAAAGCTGACAGAGTTTTGTATCAACTTGTGATCTTTTTAACTGTCTTTTTCCACTGGATGTACAAAATGAAATACAGCTGCTATCAAGAGTCTTCTGTTATCCAAGGCTGGTTTGTTTATTGGGTTTTTGGTTGAGAAATGTGTCGCTTCTCACAACTGGGTAATCCGATTTCGGATGGCATCGTTTTCGTCTTTCACCTTGCTCAAAGCGTAAGAGAGTTTAAAAGTCTCAAGCAACTATGGCCTTCCTCGATATCTTTCAGGAACTGAATCTCGAATGGTAAGCCAGAGTAATTATTGTATTTGATGTTTGTTTTTGTTATATCTAAGTTCATGAAGTCGAGCACAGTTTATGCAGCAAGTTTTTGCACGTTTGTTTAAGATTTGAGTCAATGATCTGATCTAGTATCAGGTTTGATATAAGCTTACAGAACTTTAAAAGGCCTTCAGATATATTTTCTCACGGCAAATAGAAAAAAAAACGTTCCGAAGAATATTTAGTTACAAATTTGGCTGTAGAAAGAAAACTTTGAGTGATTTTCTTGCTTCGAGGAGTTCATCTTTGAAAAAAAAGCAAACACCGGGAGGCCGAGTAAAAGTAAAACAAAATAAACTTAAGCTTAAGCTTTAAGCTTAAACGACTCAGGATTTTTAGAGATACTTTAATACTTGTCTTCGTGAATGAAAATTTTTGTCTCTGTAAGTGTTTTACCGAATTGTATTTCTTTTATTGATTGTTAGTAGTCTCTCTTGCAACTTTAATCGCCTGTTCGTGGTGTTTGTTATCATCGTTCATGAACATCGCTTGCAGGAGTACTTAGAAATGTCGCGCCTATCAAACGCTTTTTAAGATTACATATCGTTATAACTGGAACCATTAAATAACAAAAATTAATGATAATAAATTCGTTATTATGTTGAAGGGTATCTCCATTAAAGCTCATTCAAACACCCGATCACACTGACAACTCGCACTAAAAATGAGAACCGGCTGGCCGTATGGGTGATTTGGGAAATTTTTTGAACTGTTTTGCTAAAAGCCCACGATTGATTGTCCTGAACATTGAAAAATTGTGAAATGCTGTATTCTGTCCGATCGAGGTCTGTATGATAAAAAGTACTGTTTCACCTCAGATGTGATGTATAAAAAGTATGAAAGGTTGGTTTACACACCCTCAGATTTGTTGGCAAGAATTTATAAAGTAAACCTGTCGAACGCAAAAAAATGCGGCCTGATTTGTTTTCCAAGTATTTGTTTTCGAGGCCTAATCTACTGTGATCAAGATCCATTATGGCTCTTGAATGTGATAGAAGATGTTTGCTATTTTTTGGGTGTACATACATGTATATTTAGGCTATCAACTCGATGTAAGATGTTTCACTCTAAAATAACTTATCCTTTCCCTCAAAAGTCACATGAATGTGCCCTTAAGTTAACTGATTTGTAGATTACAAGTTTATTGTTTGATTTAAAATATAAATTTATTAATGGGAGCTTCGCTTTTAGCCCTGGCTAAATCTATATATTAACAACTTGAAGACTAGGATTGTGGGATCCTCTTGTTACCCGCAATGATAAGGACGCTGGGCTGAGTTAACTTTCGCAAAGACTTATGGAACTTGGCAAGTGCACCAATAGCTCATCGGCGCGTACCCAATCACGATCCCAGAAGTCCTTTCGAAAGTTACCCTCGAACGTACGCGCAAGGGCATACCCCCACCGTGTGGTACAAGGAGGACCGATGGAACCCCTCCCCTGAGTTTTTGATACGTTTCCATATTTCGAAACGATTTTGTCTTCAGTGAAAAGCTTTTGATCTTCTCTACAAAACGTGGTATATTTTATGGGGAGGGACCTTGCTGGAAGCCTGTGACGTCACCAACATGGTCGCCATTTTCGATTTTATCGGGAATTAGAAATCAGGTAAAAACAGTGAAAATTAATATTTTTTGTGGTTAATATGTAAAACAATACATAAATAATTACTTTGCATCATTTTATCCAAAAGATTTACTTTTATTGCTAAAAGAAGTTGACAAAACATGCTTTTTCACTCAAAACTGATTTGACCACCTACTACTTATGACGTCATATCTCGTAACCATAGTAACTGGTCATCACTTAACTTGTCTCCCTTGGTCCCGCGAGAAAAAAAAAACAATTAATTGTAATCAATTTCTTGACCCTCATATTAAATCATTAAAAAGTCGTGGATCTGGGGAACTGCCCACCTACCCTTCCCCTAAGTTAACATTAACATTTACTTCTCACTTAGGGCAAAATGTTGGGTTAAGGAACTGGTAGGTGGGCAGTTTCCCAGAAATCTAAATTGATCCAAAGTCTATACCGGATTCAGGTGTAGTCAGGGGCCCCACAACATTACTCGCTGGTCCGTCACCAACACTGTTGTACGCAACGACCTGAAATCTGTAGGAGGTAAAGGCTTCTAGATGCAAGGTGGTGGACGTGTCGATGGTACTTTGGAATCTGGCGTTCTTCTCAGGCGTTTGACCGCTTGGAGTTTTCCAGAAATAAATCTACGAGGCAAAGGAGAAACTCTCTCTCAATAAAAGGGAAAAACTGATTCAAAATATTTTTGTTCTGTTTGTCATTCATTTTAAAATAATTCATCTGTCAACAATCTTTCAGTAACAAAATCAACACGTACAGAAGAAGTTAATGAAAGTTGTGCATTAGGTCCTTAAATAAGCTAATAAAAATCAAACTAACAATATAAACAAAATATAGCAAATGAAATAGAAAATGGTGGGAGAAAACCCACATGGCCATATTTACAGAAGTGACTGAGGTATTGGACTCGGCGGCGCTATATATTGTAAACCAACTGCAGTGGTTTGCATCCTGGTATGTGGGCTTAGAACAAGGGACTTCGGTATTGCAATTCTGACTGATCTCTGAGCCACGCGACCTAAGTTCTCAACTTTCAAACCCATTGCGAGAGCACATGTTGATCTGCAATTTTCACACAATTGTGCAAGTACCTTGTACCCCAGAAGCTTGCCACGGATTGACTCTCTTGTGTTTGGGACGCCAGTCCAAGTTGCATGCGCTGAAGTTGGTGTTGTAATGCGCACGTGTAAGTCTCTTGGAGCGCCTACTGGCACTGTAAAGATAAAAGTAAACCGTCTATTACTTAAACAATATTAGGTCCAGGATGAAAGCAATAATATGGCTAGGAGGCCGTTTTATTGTTTTCAATATAGGAATTTTTCGATTTCTCTCCCAAAATTGTCGATATATAAAATATATCACTCTTAGAGACACTCCTGAAATCAATCAGCTGCTCGTATTGGCGGGGTGTGGTAAGTAGCCAGTTCTGCTGAATAACGTATTCTTTTTACTCTCTCCTGGATGTTGTTCTCTTGTTAGATTTCCCTTGTTTTATATTGGCTTTACATGTCGCCTCCCCAATCTATGGAAACTGCTCAGCAGCTCGCTTTTTGGCAATGCAAAAGTTGACAGCATTCAGTTTAGTATGGGTAAGGACATAGGAATCAAAACGTTCTGAATGTTTACAAGAAAGCTAAAATTTAACTGAAACATTTATCCTTGAAGAACTAGATAAAATCACAACTTTTGTGTCAATAGGTTAGAAGTAGGAATCATTGACAATGGATTCTGTGACGTAGTTTCTAAGGAGAATGCCTTTGGCACGCCTAAACTTTGAATTCTCTACCTTTCTCCCCTGAATAGCCAAACACTGGCGGACTTTTGGGTCCAAACCCTTTAACATTGGCAGCTTGTAGTCGAATCTCATACTTCGTATAGAAATTAAGGCCAGTCACAACATATGACGAAGAATTTCTGATTTCTTTCCTGAACGGCCTTCCTTTGCCATCTGCCCTTCGGTAGTACACCACATAGTAAAGTCCTGGGCCATTCTGCTTGAGGAGTGGAAGGGGTTTCCATTTGATAGAAAGTGATGAGGAGGACTTTCCTTCGCCTCTCACCTCAAGAGGAAAACTGCTTGGAGCTGCAAATAAAGATACTTCATAGTTATTTTAATGCTTTGGCTTAATAAACCTTATATTTGTTGTGCTATATACAAATAAAGCACAACATTCCTCATGAAATCTTAAACGATAACAGACTGGAGGCAATCCCTACTCTAAGATGAGGTTCGAGTCACCGCGCTTTATGGAACCCTTCATAAAGTTCCTACTTTATCTTTATATTAACATTCCTGTTTCACTCTTCCGTTTCTTAAAGTGTGGGAAGACATTATCAAATGCTTACCTGAGACTAAGAATTATCAAAAAAAGTTAAAAAGTATTGAGTTAAGGAAATATCCAATTAAGTCTGAATGTTCATTTCAATGCCGAGAAAAAGTCCAGGGTCGAGTTGTTCGAAGCTGGGTTAAGATAACCCAAGGTTAGTGCGAGATTTGACTTCAGATTCGAACCCTTAAAAAGCATTTCAGTTTTAATTCTTTTTGTCTACAAGTTGATGATTGGGAGCTCTTATAAAATAACGGAGAAAATTATCCAAGAAAATGCTTTTGAACACAAGAAAAGAAAACCAGGGTTAAATTTAATGCCGAGTTAAACGCTAATCGGCCTCCGAACAACTGGACCCACAGGTTATCACTATGTAAGACTCAACTTCAGACCAGAAAAAGCGGTCCTTAAGGAAAGAGTTCAGGGTTTACAGAATGTTAACTAAGGTTTGATTATATCAATGACTTAAGACAAAACGTGACCTGCCAGGAGGCTCTTACTGATAGGCTCCTGGAAAAGCCCACAAATTTAATGCAGTGAAACTTAAAACATGACATTAGCAAACCGAATCCAGGGAGAAGTGACGTTGAGCCCGAGGGATTTCAATGAAATACTGCACTTCAGGAAAATAAAATCAGGCTCACCAAGCTTTTGTGGTGGAAACTTTTAACCAGGCCTTCCAGGAAGGCCTGGTAATACCAGACTAACCAACCATTGCCGCTTAAGATTTTTCAGTCGAAACCTGATTTACCAGACTTTCATGGTAAATTTCACCCAGACTTACATGTACTTCGAAAGCCTGGTAAACCAGGCTTAACCAGGATTTCAATTTTACTTATAATTTTTCAAAGCCTTGTAAGTGTGGTTCAACCATGGTTTACCAGAGTTACCAGGCTTTTGATCAGACGCTCGGTGCAAGGGTGTAAGGCAATTACCTGCAGCAGGTGTTTGGATGCTAGAAGACTGGGCACTTGGTGTGCTATTTCCAATGTCATTGACAGCAACAGCACGAAAGGTATACCGTAACCATGGTGACAGTTGAATCTGTTTCCGGCCTTTAACCGCTGGATCATCCACTTCAGTAAGTGTCTGCCACGTGTCGGATGAAATTTGCGTTGAGTATTGGATGACCATCTTCCTTATTGGACTACCATTTGATTTTCCAAGTTCCCATGAAATATTCACGGATTCGCCTGCTTCTGGTTCCTGGACAATGAACATTCTTATTGGAGGATCTGGAGGCCCTGTTAATGATTAAATCAGTATTAGATCACGTCTTACCGTATTGCCTCAAATAATAGCCGAGGCTATTTCTATGTTATTTCGCACCAACAGGAGGCGATCATTCGAGGGAAGGCGATTATCTCAAATATTGTTCACTAGTGGTCGTGCCCTAAATAATTTGTTTTGTTATCTTATTATTAATAATTAAAAATAATCGCACCAAATAGACTGAACATATGCTTTTCAAGTGTTCCAAATTTGGTTTATTGAATAGTTTTCAATGTCAATATTTTCGGCGCCAGAGCTTGAATCGTCGCTGATTATTTACTGGATCTCAGATTCCACATCAGCTTCCTACTCCACGATTTACCGCTATGGGTAAAAGGTGGGGGAGAGATCATTAGAGGAACGCGATTATTTTCAACATTTCTGTCAACGAGAGGCGATTATTCGAGGGACGGTTATCATTTGAGGAAATACGGGAAAAAAAAGTTGCATTGAATTGAATCAAAAAGCTGAGCTGTCGGCTTTGGCAGAACGTTTTTACAGTACAATTGATTTCTAGAAAACTTTTCGAGAAACTTGAGTTTTCTCCCCATTAACTCAATGGACAATTTGCTACACCCATTTTCCTCTTTTAGCACATTCCATTCTCCATGATTAAATCAATGCATGCTTAATTTGCTTGTGATTTCTGCATAACCCGAGTATGATATAGTTAAACCAACTTGTGCCAACTTCTTAACCCTTCCTAAACGTCTACTATACCTTGAATCGTCAAGACAACGCTTTTCCTCATTATGGACTCGCCATTCCCTTTCGCTTCGCAGGTGTATGGTCCTGAGTCGGAGTATCTGGCGCCATGGATCTTAAGATACCCTTTCTGGACACTGGTATTTGACAAGTTGTTATATATATCCCTTTTCCAGGTTCTCAAATGAGGATTAGTCACAATGCGATCTCGTAAGAACTTAAACCACTGAAACGTGATCTCAATTCGCCGTTTAGTGGTCACACCACACCAGAATCTTACTTCCTGCCCCAGGACAACTGATAATCTCTCACTGTCGGGCATATTACTTGTGATCATGTACTCTGTAAGTAAAAAAATATATATATAATTTTTTTTTTTTTAAGAAAAAAAGACTAATATGTACCTTGAAGATTGCTGATACTGAACGAAGACTGAACTTAGAGACTGAACTGAAAAAATTGAAAGAGCAAAAATTTCCCATATTATTTTATGCCCTATGGAGTGTAAAGACAGTAAAGTTAGTTCTGAAAAAGAAAGAAAGAAAATAAAACATATATAGTATTATCTATTTAAACCATACTGCGTCATGCAAGAGTTATCCCAGGGATAGCTTTTGATGCTTTGAGTTATTGCGTCGTCCAAGTAGGGTAACAAAACCAAACAAGCCACGGTTCCGCACTGCAAGATGGTAATTAGTTGGCGAAGCAAAACGAACGATCTGCAGTCCCTTTGGCAAATGGTGAAGTTCTCAACTTAGCTTTCTTTTACACCAAGGGTTGCAAATTTGGCCTGTGGCTCAAACCATCAAATTTGAACTCAAGAGAGACCTTGAGGCGCCCCATGTAAGGCAATCCAAACGTTGAATCCTGATTCCAGGTGCAGAATTTCGGATTCTCTGTCAGTGGAAATTGGATTCCGGACTCCAGTCATTAGTGGGATTCAGGATTCCTTAAGCTTCACTCCCAATTCCTTAAGCTGCATTCCGGATTCCAAAACCCAGGATTCCGAATTCCACAAGACAAAATTTCCCTCATTCCCGATTCCACGAGCCAAAATTTACTGGAATCCGGAATCCGGATTCCCTTAAACGGAGCGACTGATGCTTGCAACAACTCCCACAAAAACACGTACCTACTACACTGAGAAAGCCTTTCCTGGATGCCTTTGCAAGACGATTCGACACCTCGCAGGTGTACTCCCCAGAATCAGATTTAGTTACGTTGCTTATCCTTAAATTTCCATTGGATAGGATGCGATGTCTGCCAGAATCCTGTACGAGCATTGGCTCAAATCGCCATCTAACTGTAGGTTTCGGTTCACCAGTGGGGTTACAAATCAACTCCACATTAGTGTGGACAAGGGCTTGCAGGTTGGATTGTGGAGCTCTGCTACCGGTGCCAAATCCTGCAGGGATTTCTGCTTGAGCAAGAACAAGAAAGGGTATTTTACTTACACGTAGTTAAACAACATCATTTGCTTCATTTTAAAGATAAAGTGCTTACTTCTAAAAAAAGAAAAAAAATCTATCAAAATACAAATCTAAGTGTAGTACATATTTAACAACTATTCCACGAGTGAGCGTTGGATATAGGATGCCGCTGAGATATCCAACGAGGCGTGTTACTAGCGCAGAGTTGGCTCATCCAATATCCAACAAACGCGATTGGAATAATTGTTTCATTAAAAATATCGAAAATTCTTCCCAACTTTATTTGTAAATACAACCGATTTTCAGCTTGTTTTAATTTTGAGCAGACTCGTCCGAGAGCATGGTATAATGGCTCATATACCATGATGGCTAAGCCAATCGAGCTCTACAATTGAATTATCCAATGATTCAGTTTTTAATAAGTGATATTACCTGAAACGGTGAGCTCAACATCAGCATGAAGTTCTCCATGCTTATTTCCCACGAAACACTGGTACATTCCATTATCAGAGTGTGTCAGGCCTTTAATTGTTAAATTGCCATTACTAAAATGGTATCGCTCTGTCTCTTTTACTGGTTTGCCATTGAAGTACCACTTGTACTGCACAACTGGCAATCCAAAAGCCATGCATGGTAGAACCACTGAGGAATGTGAAACTGACGTAGTGTCCTGTGGCTTTGTGACCCACTCGGGCTTAGCTAGAGAAATAGTAATTAACAATTATTCCTCGAGCAACTGAGCGATTTCTTGCGCGCTGATTGGTCGAGAGAGTCCAACCATGGAAGTGAAGTGAAGGTGGCGCAATTTCTCTTTTCCTTTCTCAGACACGAAAAAGGAAGTCAAAACCGTCAATGTTCTTGTAAAAAAAAAAAAAACAAAAACAAATCGACAAACATTTCCAATGGTTTGAATTCTTATAGATCATAGAAATGACGTCAAAATGTTCAAAACTCAAGTGGAACCACCGGCCGCAGGCAACACTTACCTTCCATTTTAATGACGGTGGACTTTTTGTTCGACGCACCTGAGTCGTCGCTGGCCGTGCACATGTACTCCCCAGCGTCGTGAGGAGCAAAGCTGTCGATAACCAACCTGTTGACATTTCCCGTTGTTGTTCCCAGGGTCACGTGTGTACCTTTCTTCTTTAACGTAATACTTGGGACTGGCCTGGATAAGACATCGAACAAATCATTAAAATGAAAAAAAACGCAACCCTCGAACCTAAAGCCTGATTAAGACGTTCAACGTTTCAGAAGCTAAACAATATGGATTATTTAATTTGGACTTGAATTAAGTACTTGTAAAGCTTATCTCTAAGTCTTTCCAGAACGGCAACAATTTTTGGAATGTCTCAGCCGTTCCCTCGGACTTAATCGGCCGAGTAGGGAACGTCTTAGATTCAACCGTCGAGCGTGTCAGGAATGTAACAGAAATAACAAAATATAACTACAGAAATAAAGTTTTCGTGCTCCTTACTTGCCGTAAACTATACACTCTAGGATGAATTTCTCCCCTTTTAAAGCCGTCTTTGGTTTCTCAAACTCTTCTGCTACCTTCGGCGGTTTGCTGGGCTGTCGTTCATCTGTAGGAAAAGTAAAGACTATGAATAACTACTTATTGAACAGAAACATCCAGTGAACAAAGTTAAAAATGTTCAAACGAGATGACTTCATCTGCAACTGGGCAAGCCGAGGCGCGGCAACATGAACACCACTGTAAGTTGTGATTGTAAATGTTAGCGTTAATCGAGTTAATCATCGCGACGAGGTAGTATAAATCAGGGACTTTTTCACTTAATAGCTAAGGGAAGTTTGTGATCCATTTGGATCTGAAATTGGGCCTGGATTGTAGCCCTTATGATCTAAAATTGAGTAAGGTTTGGCGGAGCTGTTTGGAAATAGGGTAACTGGTTACTTTCCAGTTGGGGACAGACTACCTGTCCTCCGAGAGAAGTTGCTGTTGCTTACTTCCCCAAGATTTGAAAAGCAAAAGTCAAGGACAAAAAATGGTACAGTGCGTACACCATTCGCTTTTGAATGGGTAATTTGGAACACACTTCAGTGGCTTTTGTCTCAGTTGCAAGGAGTAGAGGCACAACTGTGTGGACTAAAATGTTCTATCGTTTTGAGGAGGTGACCGTTAGTAGAGGGTGCATTGTGCTTACCTGGCAGCAACCCAAAGTTGATTGTTATCCTTTTTCTCTGGTCTTGCAAGCTAAGGAACAGATTGGTAACCGTACATACGTAAACCCCCTCGTCCATTTTGTCTGCAAAGGCAAAGTGCAGGTCTCCTTCCTTACTGACAACGTAGTGAGATGACTTTACGAGCGTTTCTTCAATACCAGCTGTAATCTTTGACCACTGAATAGTACGATGAGGGAAAGAGTCTGGAGCTTGACATCTTAACACAGTGTTTTCCCCCTCATAGACATCGTAAGCCTGGTCTCCAACACTGAAATCATATAGATCTATAACGAAATAACATGTGGTGTGATTTTAAGCAAATTATTTTAGGTAATACACGCCCAGCGCTGTCGACTTATGTACAGGGGGAGTGCCGTGTACGCTACAGTGGTCTAAAACCACAGCTGTGGTGACAGCCCTCGTATCTCACCATTTTAGCTCGTATTGGTATTCCCGAGGGAAGGCCATCTACGGGATGCGTTTGTTCACCCATGCTCTAACTGAGACAATTTTCTTCAGCTTCGATGATCTAATAAATTTTTCTTTTGCTATTGGCTGCGTTCCTTTCCTTCCAGAACCAAAGATCAATTTTTATTTTTCCAATTTGTCGTGGGATTTGCTGGGTTAATCATGCTACTTGTAAGTTACGTCCCCTGAATCCCATGCCCATAAAATTCATGGCTGTTTTAAGTAGATATGACCAAACCCTACGGCAAATAAGCTTACTGTTACTTACAAGGAAATCTTACAGTTGCTAATCTGCTGATGAGAACCTTTTCCCATGAAGAAACTACACAGCGATATGTTCCCTCGTCCCTCTCTTTTCGCGGATTTCTGACGAAGAGAGATCCGTCACTCGTTACTTGTAAGTCCGGGTCATGATGGACTTTGATTGCCTTTCCATTGCGGTACCATTTCACCTGGGAGTCTTCAGATTTCATACAGTGAATGGTGATATGGTCAGTTCCAGGGGTAATTGTGACGTCATTAGGTTGAATACGTATTGCGGGTCTATTGGCAAAGCCTGTCAATGATATAATTGAGATAACAAATCCTTTACTATTAAAAATTTTTGTCAACTGCTGCGATATAATCTGTTGTAAATCCCATGAATCTCCAACGTGTTTGCTCATCTTTCTACTGTTCGATGTTGTTAGTTTGTCACCTAGGACACCTGGAACCTCGTAGGCTGTTGGTTTGTCACCTAGGACACCTGGAACCTCGTAGGCTGTTGGCGTTTTTGCCTGATAATCGCACAGTATTACTACATACTACCCATCCAGTCAACTGTTGCCATGCGGATACCACTCTATTACGAACACCCGCTAACGGACTGAGGCAGAATCCCTGACACATTGTGGACTTTTGACTGAAATAAGCTCCCGCCATTACTATTATGAATCGGACTTACGGACACTTTTTTGGCCTCAATAGCATGACTTTATTGTTTCATCTCTTTTGCTATTACGGACGACGAGCGCTATCCATGAATATAGTCAAACTCCGTTATTACGGACACCGAGGGAGCCATAGAACGTGTCCGTAAAGTGTCCGTATTAACGGGCTGTCCGTATTAGGCGGGTTGGATTTATAGAAAATGAAAGGGCTTTCTTTCCCCAGGGACAAAGCAAACTGTCCGTAATAATGAGGTGTCCGTATTAAGTTGGTGTCCTTAAAACGGGATTTGACTGTACTTAGAATACAATCTAATCCATTCGCTTAGTTCATCTGTCAGTCAATTATATTTTCTTTTGAGTATCACGTGATTTCTTGTTCCCTTTTTTCCCCACTAAGACCAGCTTTCTAGTCTCGCTGCATGTAGAGTTATTCTGAGTTGTGTCCAAGGTTCTGCGCTCTTAGAGTTTGTTCTCAACCTACAGATAATCTAAATTGAACGACGTGTTATATCTGGATTAAGGCACATGTTTCCAAACAAACTTCTTCGCTATAATGGACTCTCGCTGTTAATGGGGTGTCGAAGGTATTTCAATAGCACGAATTGACTGTTTGTACTGTTTGTACCAGTCCTAATATGAAGAATATGTCAGCATAAAAGCTACACTTACCGGCTTTAAGAAGAAACAGCAGAAAAATACAAAGTGCAAAGCATCTAGATGCCCGGGTCAAGTTCATGATTATTTCGTCGACTCATGCCAGCTATAAGAACAAAGAAATAAACAAACATTAAAAAAAGAACAAAAAACAAAACAAACAAGTGCAAACCACGCCTAGTGAACGTTATCGTTTTCACGTATTTCCACTCCGAAGGAACCTAACACAAAAGAAGACATAAGGAGTGATGAAAAATATAATATAACTTGCTACCTGAGGAAGCTAAAGGCGAAGAGATAATATTTGAATGTTCAAACTTATTATAAAAGTTCGTCTATAAACAAACAAAAAATTATATCTGTGATGGGAAGATATTTAAGAGGTACTGCAGGTCACTCCATTCAAGCTCTGTGGGGGAGATTTGCAAATTAAATATACTACCCTGGGGTAGTGATATCGCATCTGACGTCAATTTATCCTTGCGCATGAAGTGACGTGGAAACCAGCAAGTCTGCGAACTCAGAATGCAAACTATGCAATCTTTTTTGCTTACGTTTTCTGGTGCTTGGTTTTGAGATAGTAGATAAGGACTGAACAGAAAAAGATCTGACCATTCACGCGTAAATGAAAGTTGCCAAAAACGTTTAACAGCACTTTCCTGTGTCGCTGCATGTAGTCATAATCAAAAAGAATAACCTTCAAGTTTCCAAGTGCGTACGGAATTTGACTAATAACGAACAAGGGCGTTGCGTGTATGGCAATGACTCCCGTCTAAACCGCTGACCGATCAATGTACAGTGGAACCTCGATGTATATGGCTAACCTCCTAAGACGACGTCATCGGCCAAGGAGCGATACTCCAGAATATTCTTCGCACCAGTAATGGTAAATAATAAAAATCGAAAAGAACCTCGATATAACGAAACCTCGTTTTAGAGAACATATTTTGTCAGTTACTTAGTTCACAATATAGGGCTTCCAATGTACGTGGTGGAGATAAATCCCTGCTCTGACCTCTGCACGGAGACTTCAGATGAAGTCAGTTAGATCATTTAATTTCCTTTGGCCTGGTTCTATTTTGCTGATCAGTCCAATGATTGTATTGTCCGTTAACTAGCTGACCATACTTTCAAGTGCAAATAAATGGAGTGAATTGTAACTGAAAAAGAGTTCTATTAAATGTGAGAGAAAGTCTCTTTTTTTCTTTGCGATTATGTCAAAGCTAATCCTTCCGTAAAGTATAAATATAGCAAATCCGCATTTTGTACTTTTGCTGCTTTTACCTGTAGAAACCTTTTAGCTGATTCTCTAGTCGTTTCCAAAAGCGACGTTTTTGTTTTCTCCCGAAAAAAAATTAAACAAATCATAAATTTTCCATAGAAACAGAACTGTGAAACAAAATTTTAAAGAGACTATAAAATCTAATTAATTACGCGAATTATTCAGCTGACTGCTTCCTTAGAACGCTTAATTCACCGAAACTATTCACTACGCTGGCAAGTATTCGTTTAGAGCCACAATAGTTTTGAAAAAGGGATTTTACAAGTTTGGCGCGATGAAAATAAAGTTTTAAATACTCCTTTACTATTTTATTTGACAAGTGTGTTTATTTTTTTGTATACATCAACAGGTAGAGCATTGTGTTTAGAACATTTGTGGTTAAATTTTGCCTGGGGAAATGGTCTCGCTTCAGCTGCCGAAAATTGAAACTTTGTACCCTTGTATAATTGTATCTCCGGTATTTCTGATATTCGGTAAAAATGAAACCAGAATATGTTGACTAAAGAATTCATTTAAGAGCACTGCATTCCGGGTACCCTGTATGATAATGGCACGTTTCGATAACTTGAACAGCATAAATGTACAGGGATAGATATCAGGGCTTGATATGAGATTTATATACAAGGATGCAAGTCCGAAGAGGTTGTGGGTTTGATGACATATGGAACGGAACATGTCTCGACTGAAAGTTTTTCTCCTCTTGAAACTGTGTGACGTAAATGTTAGATTAAGAATAACTAATGGTAATTAAATTGGAGTTCTGCTAAATAACTTAACAAGTGGAACGTGGACTGCGAGCGCGCATCCTTTGTTGTTAACAGACCACTAGGTGCGGCTAATTTGACTAACGGGTGCTAGCGAATTCACACAACCTCTACTGTTTGTTCAACACTACTGATCTGTTTGTTGCCAGACTTAGCAGGCCGTGAGAAGGACCTGCTGCAATTGTCATATGGCATGCACAATTAGATTAATTCCTATCGTCAACTCGTGCTCTTTATTAAATATTTTGTCTTCATTATATGACACCGGCGCTCGACCGCTGTTTCACTAAATAATAGGATTTCATTCAAAGGGCAAACAACAATTCATCGGCTCACAAACAATTGTTTCGTTGCCTAGAAAGCCACATTTTGCACTCAGAAGTGAATGTGGGAAAATTTCACGTCCTAACCGTAACAAGACAAATTCAACAAGTTCAACTTCTCAAGAAGAAGGAAAATATTTTAATCCTATAATTGAGTGGGTTGCCTTAAAAATACACTCTTCTTATATCAAATTAAAATAAACGTTTCAATGCTATTAATAATTTTACACACCTCTAGAAAAGAAAATTGCCCAGTTTTGTCAATCTGGAGGAGATACTTTTCACGCAAGAAATTATAACTTGAAGCTTTAAGTTTGAATACGAAAAGTTTCCGGTAAAGTTAAATTGCTTTATGCAACGTGAAGTTTTGACTTCTACGGCGTGTGCTTATAACTGTGAAATCTGGAATACTTGACTTATAAGTAGGAGATAATTTTCCCCCATTGCCTAAGTGTGATGATGGTTATAACAAAAAATACTTTGCTTTTGTTGCTAAGAACAACCCACTCATTTTCTTTAAAGTTTCGAAAGCGAGAAAGGCTTTTAAGTTTCGTACTTTATTGTTATGCAAATACCCCTTGTCCTACCATTCATTATTGAAAAGTGTCAAGTGAATAGAAATTGCAAAAGCGCGCGTGAAAGGCTCTACGGAACACTGTTATTTTTTCACACCTGCCTAATCATTTAAATGATAACATTTCGCACCCTATGAACAAGAAGTATCAAAATTCTTAACATAATTCCATAAGAAGTTTAGACGTAAAAATTATCCGGCTTATTTTCACTCAAAATTTCTGTTTGTTTTTCTGCAAAGCGGCTGGAAACAAGTTAAACAGATCGGACAATTCAGAAATTAGGATTGGCCGGCTAAAAATATCCTTATAAAAAATTCTTTCATTATATTGATTTTTTTCCATTTTTACATACAGGGTGAAACGCTTAGTTTCATGAGAATTCTCTTTGTATTTTGAGCTTTTTTCCTAGTTTTATACCCAGAAGTGAGAAACTATAAAAAGTCAGTTTAACTACAAAAATTTGATGCCATCTCTATCTTAGTTAAAACAAAAAAAAATTAACTATAAAAATGACACATAGCGTGAAAGGCAAGACCTATGGCTACTGAGTCAGAGAACGTGAACTGGCCGTGTGGTAAAACCACAGTTAGAACAGTCTGAACTAAATCATATAGGTACAGTTAAACTTTGAATTTTTAAGATACAACGCAGCCTAAATTGAAAATCACAACCGCAATGAGTCAAGTCTGTTTACATACCTTGTTTTTAACCATTCTGAGGAAAGAAATACGATTTTTTCCCCTTCTCTTCTTAGTAGAGTTCCGGATAGCTTTGTAGACAGGTTTTTGTTGTTGTTGAGATAGTTAGAAGATCGTTTGTGGAGAGCACAACAACAGTGGATTAGATAACGAACTTGAAGGGAAGCAATTAGTCCGCTTTGAGCTAGGCACCTCAGGATTTTACTGTTACATCCGTAAGGGACAAAGATACGAGCGCGGTAAATATATTCTTCACGCCAGATGGCCCAAGATATTCTCACCGATTTACATAGACCAATTAACACTCTTATAAAGATTGCTTTTATTTCATTGTTTACTGTGTGATCCTTCGATTGTTATTACATCTTAAGCTCTCTAACAAATAG